ATTTGTAACCCCTCCCTCCTTCCCCATTTAGGCCATGGATATGAAGATGATTTAGAGGTTATGTGAAGGATACTAGGGAAGGGTTAATAGCCAGAGTTAAATTAGTTCATTTAAGTTTAATCATAAATGTTATGCAATTCACACTAGCATCAAATATCATACCAAAAGGATTGAACTGTTTATTACTTTTCAATTGCAGTAAACATGGTAAAATGGTTCTAAATATTGAACATTGTTGAACAAGCATAGATGACTTGAATAGCTCTAGATGACTTGAACGTATCCATTCATATTCTAGGAACAAGTCAATGAATAAGTAAGACTTGACTCTTGACAGGCTTAAAAGACCGAGGACCCTATAAGACTTAAACTAAAAGTTCATTTGACCATTGATGACCTATGATAGGGAAGGGTCAGGATAACACATGTATAAAATATTTAAAGTGTCTAATAATGATAATGAACATATTACAATGTTACACAACATTAGTAGATGCTAATTAAATGTCAATTATTGTTAGTGTAATCAGCATTTTTCATTTAATGCTGCAACAAGCGCACAAGTACCAAAAAGTGCCACGCCCACTTTTCCCTAAAGCAGCTATGTGTGACTATATTTGATAAATATTATTGATTTATAGGATCATTATATCAACTTTTAAGTGTTTTAATGTTAATATAGATATAATATTACACATTTTGACAAAGTAGCAGCCATAAAATCCAAACAGATTTGCAAATATTTCACTTAGAGTACAAAGGGACACATTTGGGAGGGGGTCAAATTGAGAATATTTCGAGATATAAATACTGTTTCTATGGTAACCATATAAGTTAGAGATTGGAAATTTCTGGCACTTATTAACCATAACATGCCCTACCCAATATAAAACAATGAATATCTGACATGCATTAGTATTCTTTTTATTGGGTGGTATTAAAGTACCCCCATGGTTTTTTGGGGGTAGGGGTATTAATTGGTCTGAGGGCCGTCTGCCACCCCTATAGAAAGTCCAACTAACCAGAAAGTGTCCAGTATAATCATACAGATGGTTTGAAATAGGTTGGAATGTGTAACCTTTCATGTAAGGAAGGTTGCATTTCTAGAGCACTTCTACAGAATGGCTTACAGTCTAATTTGTTGATAACTGTTCTAACAAATATATCTGTCCACTAGAAGCTACTCAAACTTATAAATACTTGTATTCACTTGTATGTAGTTCATCATCACGCCTGTTCATCTCTTTAAACTGTCTGTCATGGAGATGTTTGTTGACAAAGTTGATAAAAAATAATTTGTAAAGGTATATCTTCCGTGGGTATGTCAAGTTGTTTTGTAGTATCGTTTCATTACACAATAAGTGTGACATGGACTACAAGAGAAAACGTTGTTATAGGAACGTTATCGTGGCAGGGCGGCCATCACATATTGAGATTCAATTAATTAATCACGATAATCGATGTACATGGTGGACCAAAAACGACCATTTTCCTAGTAAACAATGTACATTTTGTTTTAGAAGTATCCCAAAACAAAACAACAACGGTTAACAAAACAATGTCTCATTCCTCATTCACCTATCGACCAGGAATCAGAAATCCATGTCATTATCCAAAACGACAAGACCAACCATATAGGACATCTTATTCATACTAAAGTCATTACAATAAAAAAGTTGAAAATGAAGACGCTGGCGCAATCTGAAACTTCTCAATTGAAAACATAACTTCATATCAATAGAGTTTTATTATGTCACCAGCAGAAGGGGTGACATATTGTTTTGGTCGTTTTTATGGACAGCGTTCGGCGATTGGTGTTCGGCGGTCGGCGTCTGTGACAATGGCATGGGATAACATTTTGCATGTTTATCCCTTGTTTGATGAGATGAAAATAGCCAGCATAAACAACAGAGCTACTAGACAAGGATTAATTACACGCCTCCTTGTCAAGGTCAGAACTCTTAGGCACATTGTTTGTGTACGGTAATGTATGGTTCAAGATAGGTACTCTTTAACACGTAGGTACACTGGTGATGCATGGTTGGCTAATGTATGGGTGAAGGTCAGTTCTCTTAGGTGCACTGGTGATGCATGCTTGGCTAATGTATGGGTAAAGGTCAGTTCTCTTAGGTGCACTGGTGATGCATGCTTGGCTCATGTATGGGTGAAGGTCAGTTCTCTTAGGTGCACTGCTGATACATGATTGGCTAATGTATGGGTGAAGGTCAGTTCTCTTAGGTGCACTGGTGATGCATGATTGGCTAATGTATGGGTGAAGGTCAGTTCTCTTAGGTACACTGGTGGTACATGGCTGGTTAATGTATGGGTGAAGGTCAGTTCTCTTAAGTGCACTGGTGATGCATGCTTGGCTAATGTATGGGTGAAGGTCAGTTCTCTTAGGTGCACTGGTGATGCATGCTTGGCTAATGTATGGGTGAAGGTCAGTTCTCTTAGGTGCACTGGTGATGCATGCTTGGCTAATGTATGGGTGAAGGTCAGTTCTTTTAGTTACACTGGTGGTACATGGCTGGTTAATGTATGGGTGAAGGTCAGTTCTCTTAGGTAGACTGGTGGTGCATGGCTGGCCAATGGATGGGTGAAGGTCAGTTCTCTTAGGTAGACTGGTGATACATGGCTGGCCGATGGATGGGTGAAGGTCAGTTCTCTTAGGTAGACTGGTGATACATGGCTGGCCGATGGATGGGTGAAGGTCAGTTCTCTTAGGTAGACTGGTGATACATGGCTGGCCGATGGATGGGTGAAGGTCAGTTCTCTTAGGTAGACTGGAATGGTGGTGCATGGCTTGCTAATGTATGGGTGAAGGTCAGTTCTCTTAGGTAGACTGATTCTGCATGGCTGGCCAATGGATGGGTGAAGCTCAGTTCTCTTAGGCACACTTGTTGCGCACGACTGACTAATGTATGGTTCAAGTTGGCTTATGTAAAAGTCACCTTTATGTAAAAAGGACCTTTTACTATTCATGATCATCGGTCAGACAGTTCCGTAAACTGAGTCAATAAAACAACACATTTTGACACGACTTTGTTTATTTGAACAGTTTGATTGATCATTTTAGACTTTAAGACATGTTGACGTAAGAAATTATGGATTAGTCTTTGAACCAAGTATCAGGTCATGCTGAACATTCAAAGTTTGTTCCCTATATTACCTCAATCCAAAAAGAACACACAATAGTCGGTGTAACTTTATTTCCAGAAAGCCTCATCACCCATTGCCTTCTATCTAATCAAATATCTGAAAGAAGAATTGACGGGGTTTATTCTGTTAGTGTCTTTCTTGAAAGATATTTCTTGTTGACACACACAAAGATATGATGAGTATCAGAATGGTATCCCGCTAATAGTCTCTGCTCTCTTTGAATTAGTAGCTGCTGTAGAAGCAACAAATGCTCGTGTGAGAACATGAGAATGCCAGTCCTTATGAAACTTGAATCAATAAACAATTAATTGTATTTCACTATGAATAAACAATTAACTGAGTACCCCTAAGTACTTGAATTACTATTGACATCATTGATTGGCTACGTTGAAGGTACACTCCTATCCGAAACTTTGGCCATCGGAAGTTTTCTTTTGGATGATATGTTGAAACTGACAATGTTTGGCAAAAATGATTAAATTCATAACCGACCGATTGTATAAGGGAACAAACTATCAAATATTATACAGGGTGGGCAAAAAACAATATCCAAGTTATAAATGTTTCATATGATATATCTTAAACAATGCCATGTTTTATATATCATGTTAAAGCCTATATACAGGGTAGGTAAAAAACAATACCCAGGTTTAAAGTTATGTTATGTTATGTTTTCCAATAGTTAGATTAAAGACATACATTTTCAAGTGGATGAAACCCTAATGAGCATAAAATCCACATAGTTAACAAAAATTAACATGGTAAATAAACAAAAATGTATACAGAAAAGATGAAATGCAAATCAAACACATATACATGTATGTTAGCCTTGCTAATAAGAAGATGATAGAGTAAAAAAACAAAACAAATAAAAACAACATCTACTACATTATTGTATGTAGATGGAAAATTGCAATTGTGGACTCAAAGTTAGTCTGTCTGTTATTGGAGATTATTTTCATTATTATTCATCAAAAATGATTTGATTTTTTTTTCTTGTAAAGAGTTTTATAAAGTTGCATACAATTATTTTTTCAGGTAATTTATTTCAAATCTCTGGCCCTTGCTGGCTTATCAGATACTGTATTTGCCAATGTTTAAATATATCATTTTAAAGATAAATCATTCCCTAACAATATGATACTATCTCATTGAAAATCCTTTGTTCTCATGCGGAGTTAGAGGCTAAAATTGACACCGGGGATACCATGAGCAACAAAAAAATCAAAATATGAAAATTCCAGAATTTCTCTTCATGTTGCATTCACAGCTGCACTCAATATGCTTGACTGAAGCATTGTAAATTTATTCAAGAGTAATACACAATTGATAATTAACTAAGAAGATGAATGTATTATTGGTAATTTTGCACTAAACTTGTAAGGATGTAGCTCTTTTGAAGATTCAAATTTCCCTCAATTGAATAATTTTTTGGTCGCTCGTGACATCCCTGGTGTCAATTTTAGCCTCTAACTCTAAGAGAAGACAAAGGTTTTTCAATCGGATGGTGTCATATTGTTTAGGAAGAGATTAGGAAATGATTAAAATAATGTAATATACATGGTATGATTTAATATATATCATATGAAATTCATCTTTAAACTTGGGTATTGTTTTTTTACCCACCCTGTATATAGGCTTAAACATGTAAGCTTGGGACTCCCTATTGTCAAACTTTTGGAATGTAGTGTGCATCTTTATTGCCCATATTTATTAAGATGTGACTGTTTATTTAACGGACAATATTAAGCAAAATTTATTTTATGGAGGGCAACACTTGTTCATATGTTAACATATGTGTTTTATTACGCATCCACGTTCATGCATTTATACAAAGTGCAATATACGACGTTATTATATCATTGCTAGAAATTGTGTGATTTGATTGGTCGAGTCAGTACCATGTGATCAAAAATACCATAACGTATTTCACAGCTCCCTGAATTCTAGGATAATAAAAGACGTATTGCCCGGCGTATTGCCCGCCCGGGAATTCTGACAACTACACTGGACGAAAATAAAGTGTACCATTCAATGATACTTGTACGTAATTATGTTCACTTATGGATTAATGATATATTAATTGATTAAAATAAATGATCATAGGGAATGTCTAGCAATGATATAATAAAACAAATATTTCATTCTATGTTCGGGCAATACCTGTTGCACTTTCAATGATTTTTGCATCATGTATTTCCCTCGCCCTACGGGCTGCGGGCAATACATACCGCAAAAATCATTGAAAGATGAACAGGTATTGCCCTCCATAGAATGAAATATTTGCTTATTAATGAATTAAAAGATGTGAAATATGTAGTCGTATTTTCACAAAGTTAATCAGAGTTCTATGATTTTAGCCATGATGCAATGATAAATATTTTTTATTTCATAGGTAATGTGCTGGGGGACTGCTTAATAAACCATTGATCCCTCTAGGTCTCTTCCCTGACTTGAAAAGTCCTCGATTTTGTTTTTATTGCAAATAAAACAAAATGTCGATCGTAAACTCCGCTTCAAAGTCGGTGTTCGCAGCGAATATATAATAGGATTAATACATGAGACAAGGTATGCTAAAAAGGATGATATACCCATTCCACTTGCAATTTTAGTCTCGTCCAGATAGTTCCTTAAATCGCTTATTCTCGCAAGGCTCAGCAACTGTAGAACCGTCATAAAAGGAACCCAGCAAAGAACAAAGAGAGTCGACATAATGAATGCAGTTTTCGCAGCTTTTGAAATATTCACAATCTTATTCACTTTTCCACCTTTGACTTCATATTCCGTATCATTTGAAGCTGTTTGTATTTCATTTATAGCCTTGATATGTCTCTGTGCAATTCTATACATCGCAATGTATATACTTATTATGGCTATCAAAGGTGCTAGAATCCCAAGAGATATGTATAATAGAATATATGTTTGCGTGTATACGTAATATTCATCGCAAAAAGCGTCTACAATTTCTCCCGGGAACACAGAGATACGTATCCCCCCTGGTGTGGGCGAACCCATCACTGGTGCACACCCTAACATAATCGACCACACCCAAACTGTTGTTATGACAATGGCTCTTCGAGGATATGTCACTATCTCGTTATATTGGAACGGTTTTACGATGGAGATGAGCCTGTCGGCAGCAACAAGAAGAACGCTATATATTACTGCTAACAATAGAACTGATGGCCAGGCTGACGCTAATACACATAGTGGAATACTAGTATTTGAGCCCATCGTTAACTCTCTCCTGAATGCAGCCAGTGGCAAAGCTAATATCCCATTCTGGAAATCAACAATCACCAGATTTAGTATGAAGACACTAACGTGCTTCCTTACGTTAGGTTTAAGTACGTAGAAGCAAATGATCATCCCATTTGTAAAGCTAATGAGAACGCCCAACGTCAAAATGCTTGCAGTTATTATGAAGCTTTTCTCATTTGACTCAGCTGTCACGTTTTCAGTTGTGTTTTCTGTGGTTACAGTTACGACTGTATTAGTATTGGTGTCCATTTTGTGCGTTAAAGTTCCTCTTCACTTCGTTCCAAAAGTTTTCACACCAATGGATGCCTTCCACATAATAGTGCTCCTTTGTCCACTCGTGTTTTTATGGAGTTTAAAAGTTACAAAATGAAATCAATCTCGTTATCTGATTTACGTATTGAGTGAGAAATTGATAGAACTTTACTAACAGCTTATTTACATTATTATTACGTAAACATTTGCATTTAGTAATATAACATAATATTTCTACTCAGTAATTGAAATTGAGTTCTGGTGTAATGTATGTTTACTTCTGGTCAAGATTCGTGATTACGCGAACGCGGTGTCTTGGAATACACCATATCTTATTTTTCATAATGTCGCATTAATATTCTTTTCTCCGTTTCAGTTTCATGGTTTTGAATGTCAACTGCTCCATTACTCTCATTAGAAACTGTTTTCGAAATTGGAATGGTGTTTAGTAGTACAACATCTGCATAAGCTTCATGAATAGAGCCTGGAACATTTTTTAAACAATTTCTGTGGCTTTAAAAAGTCATCATCCAATCAACAACATATGTTTCAGACCTTGTTGCGCCTATTAAATGATACACCTCATGGACTGACACTCATGATTGCTCTCCCAGTTTGAATTTAAGTCTATTACAGGCCCGTAGCCCCTCCCCAAGGCCAAACATTCTTTCCAAGTAATGCAGTTTTCACTACCCTTTGCATTCGTTTGACTTCACTTCTTAAAAGAGAGCTTCGTCTTCAGTCTTGTAGTTTAAGTAGACTCTGCACGCAGGGTAAGTTTTCACAATTCTGTGCACTTTTCAAGTGATTTTGCGGCAAAGTTGTCAAATGTGAAACCACTCCATACAAATTATTGAAAAAGCGTGGATGAACTTGAACTAAATTAAATTGATTATCATCAATCATATCGTAAATATTGTCTAAAGATTGAATAATGAGGTATAGTACAAAGTATGTTTTCATTTACATTACTTGATGTCGCTTTATGCAAACTAATATTTGTTCTCGGTCTATATTGTCCTGTGTATCGTTAACGGCACATCTCATCTTTCATAGAAACTGAATAATTTATTACTTACTCCTCAGAATGTCTGAAACAATTGTTGCACTCTCAATATAATCTTACTGATTTTACATAACTTTCACTTGTGTATGGCTTTTGTCTTCACCGTCCATTGTTTTCAGTCCAGTAATCTTCCTAAAGTATACAAATGCTTTATAAACTTAAATCTGGATAGATTAAGATCCAATATCGTATCTTACTTGCTTGTCAATCGAAAACAACTAGCAAGGACATTTTGCGTCACTTTTATACTTCGCTATTTTTAGGTTATTTATATTAAAATCATTTCTAGTTTGGTGAATGACGTATGTGACGCATTCTGATACTCATCGCATCTTTCTGCCTTCAACAAGAAATATAGTGAAGCTAATATAAGGCCATGATTGCTCTTCATGTATCTGACGTGGAAACCGTATAGGTGTGCGACTTGTCACTTGAAGTTCCAAAGGAAACGTTGCCATGGCAGCGGTTTCGTGACAGAAAAGTAATTATTAGTGTCTTCCGTTAGAGACATAGAAATGATAGCGATATTGCCTAATGTTAGATTCGACATACCGGGCTGGTCTATAAGATAATAATTAATTCATCCATTTTCTTTTATATCATATGTATTTCTTTTATATCATATATTTTTTAACTGGGGCTCTTTTGTGCTTATTTATATAGCGAATTTACCGCTTTATGGACGTTTTTGGTCATTTAAAAAGGCTCTAATCTAAATTTTTAACGCAAAGATGCACTGAATGAAATCATGCAGTCCATGGGTAAGATAGGTATTAGTCAAACATCAATTGATCCATCCCTTCTCAAAAGGTTTGCCACGCACAAACAACTTCGGAAGTCACGTTGCCACTGATGATTTGCACAAAACGAAAATTAGATTCCAAAGATATTCATTCTGCATACAATTGACTAAACTGAGGAACAATAAAACAATAAGTGAAATTGTCCCAATACAAAAAATAACCTTTAATGTCACGGCCATTTACAAAGTAGGAGGGAAATTAGCGCAACAGATTTCGGACAGTCATTTGGCTATTTTTCTGAGGATTTAAACAGGTGCGTATGTTAGATCAATGCATTACCTCCAGGAAAAGCACTTCTAGAGATGATAAAATAATTTCGACTTTGAGACAGGGTAGATTCAAACAACCCACCCACATGTTTTTTTCTGAAATGTTTTCCTGATCTTCAACCCCTTCCACTCCGGTTTTTATATTTTTTCTTGCATGAATATATTGCGTTTTGACACACAGTTGACCCCTTTCAAGGAATAAGTGATTCCTTTAAGATAAAGTGGAAAACAATATTTCCCATGTTATCTTCCCATAGGGAAAACTCATGCAACCCATTGCTTTCAGCTAATTTTGGTCACCCATAATGGATATCTTTAAAACCCCTGTAGGAATTACTTATTCCTTAGAAGTTGTTCACTTTGTGTCAAAACACAACATGAATGATGAACAACACAAAATGAATGTGTAGTGCAATAGAGAGAATAGGACGGTTCAAAATTCATGACTGTCTTCGTTTGTGTTGTGCACAAAGGCGCCATCTTTACAACTATAATATTTGCCTTTTACATAAAAGCATTCTGAGTTAAGCTTCTTTTATATCAGCCCGAAACCTACAGGGTGTCCCAGAACTCATGAGAATTTTTTGAGGGAGGTATAAGGCATGGGTGATAATTCTTCAAATTTGGTACACTTATTAAACACACTTTGGGGAATAACTGACATGAATTTCAAGCACATATCATTTATATTACCGAATTTATTGTCATTTGAATTCTACAGTGTCACAAACCCCGGAGTTGTCGGGAAAGTACAACAGTTTATGTCACATTTTGTCAATTTTATACAAATTCTCAACTATAAAACCAACGTTTTTTGTATAAGCTTAGTTGAACATTTTTCTCATATCGATGATGCACTTTGATAAAACGATATATAAATTTTGATAGAGACCCAATACATCAACGGATTGTATATTTGGTTTGCTGAAAGATCAACACATGTTCCCGAGGGACTGAAAGAAATGTCCCTATTTGCTAATATGATCTTGCATATTGACAATGCACCAGTGAATAAGTCACAACATGCATGTCAGTAGTGCATCCAATTTACTTTCTATTGAGACTTTACAGTATATAGTAGCTCCATATACTTGCCAGATTTTGCTCTACTAGACTTTTCATTTCTTGAGGGACCTTAAACAAAGATTAGTGGGCCATGTCACTGAAACGGAAGAAGAATTGAGTCATGTTGTTTCAGAGGACCCTACAGAAATGGCTATAGAACATTTGGGAATGTGTATCAAAGGTAGCTGAAAAGACATCAACTGCAGATAATATGCTATAACCCCGGTGCTAAAATAACTCTGTAGAGATATGTTAGCTGAATGTGTATGATCCTTTTAACTAATGTGCTGAAATGCTGAAATAATTCAATGAAAACAATGCTATTATAGTCGAGAAGTTGTGTAAATATTATCAAAATGTGACGTAAATTGTTGTATTTCTCTGACTACTCCGGGGTTTGTGGCAATGTAGAATTCAAATGTCAATAAATTCGGAAATATAAAAGATATGTGCCTGAAATTCATGTCAGTAATTCCTCAATGTTTGTTTATTAAGTGCACTTAATTTGAAGAAAAATCATGCATGCCTTATATCTCCCTCAAAAAATCTCATGAATTCTGGGACACCCTGTATGTCATGTTAAAATGACTATCTTAGATTTCAAAAGATTGGATATAGAATTATTATTCAGACAAACTTTTAAAACATCAGCATGTTTAAGTACATTTTCGGTGCACAGACATTCCCACATCAGTATGCCTATTTCTGATACATTTACATATGTCAGCATGCGTACTGTATATATTATATGTTCATCTACTACTGTTGATCCACAGACATATTACATGTACAGCTACTGTTGATTCACAGACATATTTTATGTACAGCTACTGTTGATTCACAGACATATTTTATGTACAGCTACTGTTGATTCACAGACATATTTTACGTACAGCTACTACTGTGCACAGACATTTAGACATCAGTATGCCTGTGTACATTTCTGAATCACAAACATTTGCACATGTCAGCATGTGTATATATTTTGTGTTCAGCTACAACTGTTGATGCACAGACATTTGCAAATCAGTATGCCTATGTTCATTTCTGGATTACAAACATTTGCACATGTCAGCATGTGTATATATTTTGTGTTCAGCTACTACTGTTGATGTACAGATACAACAAATCAGTATGCCAATGTATATTTCTGATCACTTACAAACATTTACACATGACGTCAGCATTGTCTCATATGTAAATATTCAATTTTGAACTACTATTGTCGATGCAGAGACATTTACATATCATCATGCCATAGCTACGTACATGTTTTATAGTCTACTTCTTGACATTGATACATTCATTTTATGTGCATATTCACTTGTTTGTTTGTTTTTTTGTTGTTTTTTTATTACTTTTTTATTCATAGAAAACATCTTGTTTGTTTGTTTGATATAATAAAACGATGGGGAAATGTGTCTTTTGAGTGTTTAGCAAAGAAACAGTAACCATCTACTGTTGATGTGCAAAAAATTACATTTTAGCATGCTATGCCATATTTTATGTTCTGCTTCTCGTCATTGATATATTCACTTTATGTGCATGTTCATTTGACTGTAACATACCATTGAGAAACATGTCTTCTGAGTCTTAAACAAAGAAACCGCAACCATCCATTTTGTGTATTATTTCTGATTAATATTTGACAGATATAAACATTTTAAATGTTACTAAGAATGACCACTTTTCCACCCACTACAGGGTGTGCAAAAAACTAAAATATGAACGTTTTGTCATACCCTGTTGTCATGGGTTCGGAGTGTTGGGTCTCAAGTCTCTAATAAAATATTGAAGGGGAGAACACCATATACAGACGGTGCTTGCAGAAAACGGTCGGTGAGAATATCATGCACACGAGGTGCGGTCATTTTTGAATTTGAATACGTGATATTTTATATAAGCCGGTTTGGGTATTCGGTTATATTCGTAGATGTAAGGATGATAACTAGTAAAAAGGAAACAGTTAATAGGATGCATAATAACAAGCATTGCATCTCTATTCAACGCATATATTTTGGAATTGCCGCTTTTATAACCTTTCCAGCCTTTAGTCAGTATCGGTACTCAAGATACGCAATATATACAAATTATTTTTACATCTTGAATCATGTTATATAGTTTTTGTATGAATTTATAAAAAACGGAAAATGTTGTATATGTGCTACCCCTAAACACTTGATGCAGATAAGCATATTGATGACATATTGATTATTTGATTATATCGTGATATTTTGTTGATATATCGCCTGTAGATATCACTGATGTTAATTTTGATCACGGTAAAGGGTTTCACCAAACAAATCCTCGCACTGTTAAAACGGCCAAAACTGAAAGGTTAGGTATGTGGCTATTATGTTGATATAGCATAAAGTACAAAACTATTTACACAATTTTCTTTTCATCAGGCACTATTTACACATTATATTAACATAACTAAATACCCAACACGGCTTAGTTTAAAATTCAAAAGTGACAGTTTACTCCGCACCACGCACGCACATATCCGAACCGACCGTTTTCTGCAAGGACTGTCTGCATAGGGTGGAGAAAAAAGATATTATGATACATTTCTAATTTCTACAAGTGAAAATGCTTTTAAATGCATTTCTGTAGTCGTCACTAGTAGTGGCGTAAACAATGATATTCGTCAAGGAGTTCAAAAGATAAAATATGGCGGCAGTAGGTATGATATTTGCTGGAAAGTTATCGTTAAAGATCTGGATTGGTACAACTACAAAAAATGGAATATAGCATACTAGAAAAAGAATTAGCATAATACTGATCTTTTTAATTAGTAATGAAACCCGTTTGATCCAAGCCTTATATAATTTATTTTCGTTTTGTTTAGCCTTAGCAGCTTCGCTCCTAATCTTATTCTTCTTTATACTACTGAACAGGTCGGTCACCCGTAAGGCTTGATTCATCTTGGATGATGTTTTTCTTTGAGCTCTCTCCTCTACTGACAGGCTGGTTTCCTTTGAGAGAGCGTCGCTCAACGATGATCCGTCCATTGTTGGGTCCTCTTCTTTGATGTTACGAGAACATCCAGGTTGAGGTTCAATCATCACTGGGTGTCCTTGTGGTTTGTTAACATCAGATTGTGCTGTTGCAACTTTTGTTGATCTACTCATGACGTTGATGACTAAAGGGGTTCGAGTGGGGATCAAGCCATGTTGTTGTAACTGCGCAAAGTACTTCCTCATCGTTTTGAAGGTGCTCATTTGGAGTACGATCAGGACTATCACATGGATGTAGACTATTATGCTTACTATCATAAAAAAGTATGGATTGATCTGACGGTTCCCGAAGTGACATCCCATATCTTGGTATTCACGGGGCTGGATGAAGATAAACAGTGAGAACAGGCCCCAGCATAGCCACGTCATCAAAATCAACCTTCGGGCAAAACTATTCGTAAAGACTTTGGTTGTGATCATAGTATACCTGAAAAGAAAGTTCTTATATCAAGGGGTTTCCGCATACAAACACAGTCTAGAAAACAGCAACTCGACGGAGTAACGTAGCGAATCCCATCGAACAAATATCCGAAAAAATTTATTCTTGAACAGAGCTACTTTGACCCTTGATATCAGCCTGAGACTAACATAAAATTTTATGATGGTCTCAGATATCAGCATATATAGAGGATATCCTATGATTTTTGAGGGATACCATTTTTATCCATGAGTGGATATCGCCCATCTCCACGAATGAGCACAGCGAATAAGTGGAGATCGGCGATATCCAAGAGTGGATAAAAATGATAGCCCGAGAAAATCATAGGATATCATATTTATCCGATGGCAGCTATTTCTATATGGACTTAAAATAATTTGAACTAAAAGTTGTTGTTTTCTAGATCTTTTCTAATTTTTTCATTCTATTGTCAGTGAAATTATTTTTACAAAATGATTGCATCAAACACTTTTTTTGAGCACATACATGGAACTTTATATTGTTGCAGATCAAACAGACAAGTGGTTTTTGGCGCCAAGTTCAACACAAATGGACAAATCGTATCCGATACTATTTTTAAGACGTCATATGAGTCGGATACGATTTTTAAGACGTCATATGAGTCGGATACGATTTTAGCGGCGCATACCAAAATTATCTTGTGTCGTTATCCCCAAATATATTTAGTATCCATCGGATAAAATATTTTATCACTTAATTTCCGACGATTCTGATGATGACTTTAACTATGGAATAAAAAGAACATCCTATGATTTACTCGTGATATAATTTCAATCCACTCATGGATATTGATATCTGCACTCTCTCGCTACGCTCGCTCGTGCAGATATCATATCCATTCGTGGATAAAAATCATATCACTCATAAATCATAGGATATCCTCTATTTATCCAAATCCATGATATTTATGTTTTCAAAAATCTGATTCCGTTTACGTAATAACCACTAATACTCCACTCGATTACGCTGGTTACCAAAACTGGTTACCAAATGGCGGCCATTTTGTTTATATTAGTGGTATTCTTGGGCTCTTTTCTCTTGGGCAATAGCATATACAATTTGAACCAAATCTGTCCAAATGTTGAGGTCTTTTACAAAAAATGAAATTCAGCTGTCATAGTTTTTATGGTTCATTTATTGAAATCATATATATATAATACATTAACAGGGCCTAGGCGAAAGCATTATTGGCCCTGTGAATGACATCTTGATCAGAGTCCCTTTGCCCCTAAGCATCCCCATGTAAAATTTGAACCTAATCCGTCTAATGGTATTTGAGTTATCAAAGATAACGTTTTTACAAAAGATGGCAGCCATTTTGAAATTCAGCCGCCATCTTGAAAATTCCTGTTACGTAAGCATAACCTCAAAAAGCGGTTAAGATATTTTAACCCGATTCCGTTTACGTATTAATCACTGATACTACAGTCGATAACGCTGGTTACCGAAACTGGTCGTTATCAAATCGACGATTCTGTTGTCTTCTGAACTATTTGTTGGCAAATATGTACATTTTCTTAAACGTTTGTGATAAAAATGCCTTGGGAATTCTGCCTACAACTCATGAAATAAGGGAAAAAGAAAATCGCACCTTCGAGGTTCCGACATTTTGTTACCGAAACGGATCGAATCGTAATCGAGTAGAGTACCAGTGAATAATAGTGACAGACAGATAGTATGACAGACAATGACAATGGAGTCAGCCGATGTGAAACCACGATGTGTAATTGTTATGTTTGTATGTTTTGGTAATTTTGCATTATACCATTATATTATATGGTATTTATGACGTTGGCTTTCTTATAAAAGCTAAGCAAGAATCAAATTGTTAACTTGGGAAACATTTTATAAATATGTATATCAAACTCTAATTAGATAATTAACTAAATGAGATAAGTAAACTGTACATCCAGAGTTCACGAGAAGAGGTTCGAATATTTTGTCTAATTTCCATTTCTCAACAAAACCTTCCGAACTCACATACGTTCGGACCGGTAAACATTTGAGTTTTGTTTATACCTCTTATTTCGGCTCTGTCCATCTCAAAATTTAGTAAGAAGCAGTTTCCGCACTAAAACCTCGGAACCTCGTGCGTCTTCTCGAGTTACACAAGCTGTAAGTATCTTATTTTCGGCGCTTAGAATTTTCACAAATAAATGGTGTTTTGATGTTTTCTTGTTTTGTAATAAGATAGGGAGGCGGAATATTGTCACAATTTACCTGATAGCTATGAACATTTCGGTCCATAGCAGAAGTATCCCAGTCATGGTACAGCCACCAGCGGTGATGAGCACAAGAAGGAATACCAAACACCCATTGCTGCTGATTAGATCTCCTCTAAACTCTAGTATACATTTCAGTAATGTCAAAGACCCAAAGGCTATATCAGTCAGAGCAAGATGGGCTTTAAAATAGTTTGACACAGTGTTTCTTAAGTTTGGTGTTTTCCAAATTGCAAATATTATGAGTGAATTAGCGAGTATAATAATAATACACACAACAGACTGGATAATGTATATTCCAGGTTGAAGTTTTGCTGGTTGTTGTTCCTCAGACTGGTTCGTCCCTACATTGGTACAATTTGTCAAATTGTATGTAGACCTACATTCCTCAGTGACGTTCATTGTATTATTGTGTTCCATTCTTGGTACCGGACTAATTGATTTTAGCACATCACATCTATATACATGTATATACACAGGGTGACACAAAAAACTCTAAAAGTGTAATAATTTCTTAAATACCTTACCTAGAATCTATGGACAACAAAATGAAATTAAGTTTATTGTACAAAATTGATTGATTATTTGTGATACCGTAGATATTCTTACAATGTGTCCACTTTTCGGAAAATCAACATTGAGACAAAATCATATCTTGAGATTCTTAAAGAAATTCAGAAGAAAATTCCACAGAAGACATGAAATGAAAGTCTCAATAAATATTTTAATTGATAAATGAAGAATTGGCAATTGAAAAACATCTAGAAAAAAATCAGATGACTGAAAGTCCTGGCCTCTGAGCAAGAACACCTCACCTCAAACGCTGTATATAAAATTCCACTTTATATCCAAAGAACATGTGTACGTTTTATAGATTTTATTACATAAAATACAACATATTACAAAACTTTTTTGGCATGGGGAGACGGCTATCTATCGACCAGAGCTTGCGTAATTGCATACAAAAGAAACGATTACGTAATCATGAGATAATGTTACGTAATGACAACGCAAAATCATGATTATGCAACCTTATATAATCATTAATCTTAAACACCTGAATGGAAAAGATGATCAGCTTGCCTTTCTTAGGATGTTTCTTAGAATGAGGGTTTGAGAACATCAGAAAGCACTGTTTGTGATTGCATTGAACGCAGTTCCAAAATATCACTCAGAAGGTGCATCCATACCTAAAGATGGCTTAAAGGTTGCTGGTACACTTCCTCATCAATGATTTCAACCACTATACTAAAAATGCAGCTTAAGAAGCCAAGTGGGTTTAAACAAAAGATACGTAACTCTGGTTGACACAAGAATCTTAAAATTATTTTCTTTCAAAAGTGGGTACATTTTCTTATTGACCATAACAAGAAGAATATTGAATGTTATGTAACGAATTTGGTGTCACTATTGTCATCCATTGATTGTAGTTCATGAAAAGTGAAGATGATTACACATGTATTAAAGAAATTATTACATTTATAGAGGGTTCTGTTTTTTGGGTCACCCTGTATATATATCGATATGTACCTCATTTGTAATTGAATACAGCTGGATTTTGATTGGTCAAAGAGTGGCAAATAATCACTGTCTGCTGTGTCGGTTTTCAGTGTCAGGAAATAATCTAAGTCAACCTCCGGATAGGGCATCAATTAATAAATTTTACTTCCTGATTATATGCTTTTCTGAAATATAGTCTAAAATAACCAAAAATGCATTATTTTAAATAAATAAATTGGAAAATTGGCCTACTGGTATATGAAAATAGCAAGAAAGCTGAGGAAAAAAAGTTATGTAACTCAAGTGTGGAATACCACACTGGGGATACATGTTCGCCTTCAGTATAGTAACAAATGAATTAATTAAGATAACTTTTGTGACCATTGTTATTGGTATGCAACTTGAATCATCATATATAGCACCGTTATAGAATCATGCATTCATTTAAGAACCACTAGGGTGACATTATTGCACTATGAGTACCTGAGGCCTCATTATCAGTTGGTCGCAACGCAGAATCGCATGCGTTGCGCCACGCAACGCATCGCATCGCATATATTTCATAAAAAACATATTATCACTTTGACGCAACGCAGTTCTGACGCAAGATTATAGATTTTCTGAACGCAAATGAACTCATATTTGCGTTTCTTTTTACCCTGCCGCAAAATCAAAACGCAAATGTAGTGCATCTTTAAACACTATTTCTTAGATATTAATGGTTGTTTTCCGGTGTTTTCTGTGAATCATCTCATTACCTATTAAGTTAACAATAGCTATATCGAAGGAATAATTCAATCATATCTATATTATATCATTGAAACATACATTTTGTCAAGCTTGTAAATCATTCAAGAATATCATGTTTGTTTCCAAACAATGCGAACGCATCGCATATATCGCCAGCAAATAGCACTCTGAAAGCTGCGGGAAGAAAGCTAAATATGTTCCACTTCTTTTTGAATCGACACCAAAATGGCATAGGACTGAGAATATTTCGAGATAGAATCAATCCAATTGATACACTAGATGATTCTGAGATATGGCAAAGGTATAGAATGCCAAGAGCATTAGTGATGGAGTTGATGAACTTGTTTGAACCAGAATTTTTGCCAAAAATACGAAATGAACACTGCATACCACAGTATCTTAAAATATTGATAACCATTCAGCATTTTTAAGGTTTTAAAAGAAAAATCAGAAATGACATCGAATTAATATAATTATTCATGTTCTGT